GTTCACTTATCCGTAAATCCGATTTTTTAGAATTTTGATTGGTAATAGCAAAAAGGCGTGAGTACTAGGTATTCATGAAATTTGATGAGTATACATATGCGAACGGCAAAGCATAAAAGTACGTTTACATATAAATATAATCTCAATCAAAGCTCGTTAGCTGTCAAATTGGTTGTGCTTGTTATTCACACAACTCGAGGAAAAGTTACACTTCTTCTCTGTGCCACCGTGGTCACTTTTTTTTGCAACACATATTAGGCCATTTAAATATATTTTAACTGAATATTTTATTAAAAATACCTTTACAAACCTGTTTTCCTTACTAGCGTAAATTTTTGTTTACTTTAACATTTGACATTCCTCCTCTTCTTCGCAAGTATAATCGATAAAACTGGGTGGGACACCAAAAAGTTATCGGTTTAATCTGAGATATTTTTAATTATAATTTTGCATGGCTAATCTCTTTTTCTAATAACAGATTAGGGAGTCAAGCTCGAAAATTAGGATAATATTTTTATATATAAAGGCGATTCCGTTACACACATACAAATGTTGGTTAGGTTAGAAATTAAATATTAATTTCACTTAATTTTATTCATTTTGCTGATTTAATTTTTTTATTCATTTTCATTTTTAATTCTTTTAATACATGACATTATCGGTATGATTGATAAAATATACTTGTACATATATACTTGTGACTCAAGGGCATTATGCGGCAAAAAATATTTGATTGCCTCTATCTACTCAAAATTGTTTATCAAATGTAAAATTGAAATAATTTGTATTACAGATAGGTTATATCAATAAAATATATATATTAGCCAATAATTTACTATTTAAATATATTGACTACCTTTATTTATAAAATGTGTGTACACTATCATTGGTTAATTAGTTTTCGCTTTCAGAATCTTCGTTGGTCTCAAACTATTCCTTTGTCACATCTTTGACAACGGATTTAGAGGGTAACAGCAGCTTTATTGTGTCTGGGGAAAACGATTTGATATTTTTTCTTTTTTTGGTCATGAACCGAAATACTGCTTAAAAACGAGTCCGAGCTCATCCACAGCCGGTTATACATATATGTCACGGTTAGATACTTCACAAGAAAACTTCCGGGAATAATTTTCTCGGTAGTGTTTGTTGTGGGCATCTTGAGCCTCCCGCCGATAATTGTTCTATTGTTAATAAGGAAGTAGTATCTTGTGCATTGTGGGTGTCATAGGATGCCATGCCGTCGTCGATTCGCCACTTCTCGCTCGCTATGTTTGAGTTCCGGTCGCTTAACGAAAAATTTTGCATGTGAAAGCAACAACAAAGTTAGCTAGCATGGATAGACGACAGCAAGTTTGGTTGTACCTCATTGAGTTCGTTCGTTTCGCCACTTGCTAACTGATGGCGAATCGATGACGGCTAATAATCAATTGTAGCGCATTTCCTCTTACTATGCATATGCCTAAACGTATGCAACCATTTGGCAAAGCGAACACAGGGTGCTTCTAATGAAAATAAAAATTTTATGCTGAAATACACATGCTAAGCCCTTCGAAATTTTGTGCTGGGATATGCGTTACAGCTTCGCAAATTTTACCCCTACCGAAACCAAAGATGTATACACATCAAAAAAAACGCTAGATTTCCTTAGAGGACATTGACTACGTAATAAAAACCTAAGCCCCCCGCCCTCACTGTACTCAAGTGTGGTATTTTGAAGAAAGGAGAAGGTTATCAATTCATCGGAATATTTTTTTTTTTTATGTGTGTGTTACCGCTTAACTTTGGTCCACGTTAACCGATCTCTATAATTCTTTTTTGTAAAGGAAAGATGTTACCTCACAGGTGGTCCCATACTAATTTGCTTAAATCGGATCATTGGATCATGAAGAAATTAATCTTTGACTTGAAGTCGGTTTTGTTTTTTGCTTAAAAACTACTTGTTTGAAATGTCAGTTAAACTACTCTGGCACTCAATGCCTCATATGAGATTACTCATTTATACACCTTGGAGCTACTATTTTTATGATCACATAAAAGTAGAAATTTTCTAACCTAAT